GTGCAGACTTGTGCTTATCTGCACAACTTTTTAAGGACAAGCTCCATATCAAGGCATGTGTACACCCCATCAGGAAGTTTTGATGAAGAAGTGAGTGGTAACATGATTCCAGGAAGTTGGCGAGCGGACAATGAAAGCAACACATCATTTGTTCCTCTGCAAAATAGACCTAGGCGTTCATATCAAAGGTGTCTGGAAATGAGGAATGAGTTTGCAGAGTACTGTGTTAGTGAAGTGGGTAAAGTGTCATGGAAGGACGATTACAGCTGAAAACAACTTACTATAATGCAGAAAATGCTAACATAATTTTATGTAGGGCCTACGGTATTACCTATATTATAGGCTATTCTAGGTATTTTTTAAGCATGACACAAGAATTGAGTACTTGATTAATTTGTACATTTTTATTGTCATTGTAATAAAAACATTTATTATTAAATACATTTCTCACAAAACTTTGTCTAATGCCATTTATAAACAGTGTCACTTATACACCATTACAGGAAAATGAGTAACACTTTAACAAATTCAGTAATTAAGTATTAAGGCGACCATGGGAACCTATAGCAATTTAAATATAATCAGAAACTAAATTTTTACGTGAAAACAATGGTGCTGAACTTTCTCTGCTGTGACAAAAATTGAATAAACTACAATAGTTTCAATTTTATTTTAATGTTGGAACGTTAATCTGCACATCAATATTTACACTCAAAAATCAAAGTTAATAGCCCAAGTCACATTTACATTTATTGATTGATTTTATGATTGCATTTATATGTATAGATTTCATTACAGCATTGACTATATACAAGGTTGTTTATTTTAAGTGTGCCACCATTGGGATCTCAGTAACTAGTGGTTTTACAGCAAACTTTAAATGGGAAACATTCCCTTGTTTTTAAAGAGGTTCAAAAATAATTTAATAAAATTTTTGTAAATGGCCACCATTTTCCAATATGGCGGTCAACTTTGAAATTTCTTATAGAACACCCTATATTTTATCATGTTTTCGGATAGAACATGCAATTGAAAAACTTTTTTATCCTTGACATTTTTTCGATAAACCCTTTCGTTTAGGAGTTACAGCCTATGGAAAAATGACTTCCGGTTTACATTTTACATCATGTAGCTCTTAAACAAGTAGGGTTAAATTGATTTCAATATAATATTCATTATTAAAATCCTTACCTCTGAGCTCTTTGTATCCTTCACTTTAAATTTATCCTTGAGGAATGCCATCGGGGCATAGGCAAACCAATTGGACTTGTAGACTTCATTTGCAGCCATGCCGGACTTTTTCTTTTCCTTGGTCCGTTCTCGCCTGAACGACGAAAGTAATGAATTAATTTTCTTCTTAACTTCTCCAACATCGTTAGTCATGACAGCCGCCAGCGATTTCCAACTGTCACTTTTCTTGTTTAAGAGTTTTTAATCCGCACTAGTGGGATCCCATAACACTGGCCGTGCTTTGTACTCTTCAATGAGCTCCAACACTTTGTCATCAGTCCACTCCATGGTTAAACAAAATAGGAAATTGTAGTACAACTAAAAAAACCACCTTTGACCTAAACAACTTGTTGATAGGAGTAAACACCGGCAGCATGCAGGACCAGACTGGAGTCACTCCGATGTGGTCACACTGAAGCGAGCACCGAACACGAGCGAACGCGAATTTCCTTTGATCGTTCGCGCTGAAACCGACAATGGATGGAGCAGGCGCGAACGCGAACATGCGACTACCGAGCATTGCCGAACACGACCGATTGGTGTTCGCTGCGCCGGTCACACCGAAGTTAATTTCGCATTCGTTACTGCTCGTTCGCTCCTGTTCGCTCTGGTGTAACCGTACCTTTAGCGCCTGCGCGGCCCTGGATGCAAACGCAACACACCGCTCATGCGCTCGGAAACTACAACATGCAGCTTATGGGCAGCGCTTGTTCCAGTAGTATAGTTCGATGGTCTGGGCACACCCAGACCCCCGTCTCTGCACTTTGCGTGGATGAGGTGGTCGGTAGTGGAACCAAGAAGATGGAACATGGACCTGACCACCTCTCTCAGTCCTGTATCCAATCTCGGCATACGTTATCTTGGGGATCAGATATTGCTTGAGAAGCTTGAGCTTCTGACAAGGCTTAAGCTTGAGTGTGAGAGAACGACGTACCCCTGCCAATAGTCGCCCAACGTGGTGGTTATTTTGAATACCACCTGCAATAGTGTAAGTGACCCCTAGATAGTTGATGGTCCACCTGGCCCGATTGCCGGGATTTCATTTGCATGCACAGAAAGATTTGGGCTCTCGGTCACCCAAGTTCTACTGAATGGTTTAATGGAGAACGCCAAAGATTTCCTAGCCGCTAAGTCCATGCCGAGCTCCTGCAGGTATCGAGAAACCCGGTCAAGCTGGCGTTGAGCACCTTCAACGCTGCTGCTAAGGATCTTAAGTCATCAGTAAACGCCAGTCCTCCAAATCTATAGTCGTGGTCCACCCGGAATCCATCTGGCGAGGAGTCCAGTTCAGCCATCAGCGGGTCCATCACCAGGTTAAACACAATGGGTGATAGAGGATCGCCTTGTTTAACGATCGGAAAATGTTCACCCTGGGTGCCCCCTCCAGCTTTAATATTGTGCTGGAGCCCGTGTACATATTCTGTATGATTTGAACTATGTGTGACGGTACCTCCTGACGCCTTACGGCCGCCATGATTCCTTGGTGTGGCACAGAATCGAAGGCTTTAGATACGTCGAGGAGGGCCGACCCCCTAACGGGGGTTAGGGGGAAACCTTTCTTGGCGATCTGCATGACTTCATCGACAATGTAAGTGTTTTTATAGCAGCCATTACTTGGCATGAACCCACGCTGAGTCTCATTTATAACGCCCATCCAGCAATCCACTATAAATTCGAGCTATAACTGATCCAATGGTGATTAGTCTAGTTTGTTGCATCTCTAGGGTCTTTGCCTGGCTTGGGGATCAGAGTCGTGCGGTTGACCTTCCAGCTTTCCGGGTAGTGTCCGGAGGCCAGCGTGACATAGAATCGTTTAACAAGCAGCTTGGTTGGGAATGCACCGTCTATCTTGTAAATCGCGTTTTCCGATCCCATCCGGGCCGGCTGCGGTCTTAGTTTTAAGTCTGCGTATCCTAAGGTAGATTTCCCTTGGAGTTATGCCCAGGACGAGATTGATACCTGTCTCAGGGCCTGCTTCCAGTTCCAGTGCACACTGCCCCGTTACACCCCATAGATTGTTAGATATTCTTATTTGACCTTTTTCACATTCAACTTCTACTAATTCAAAATCCCAGACTTCCTGCTGAACTCTTATAACCCAACACTGGTAATTTTGTTGATTTCTTATGACAATTTGTATCTTGCTTGAAGAAAACCCTGTTGTTGTTGACTTATTATTTTCTATCCTCAATGCAATTATCTGTGGGCTTAAACCTTTCACCAATTTTTTAACTATTTCCAATTTGTTGATAGATTTATTATTATTATATAGAATAGTTTTATCTTCTAGTATTATCTTTTCTAATCCATGTTCTCACTTCTTTCTAAGGTATAACTGTAGGTTCATCATCATTTATGTCTATTATTACACCAACAAAGTCTTTTACTGTGTGTTGGTTTGGAATGACATTAATACCCAATCACCAATTTTTATGTGTTTTTCTGCTAGTAGGATTGACTCTTCTGGTTCATCTTCTTCACTAAAACATCTTATAAGCTATTCCATCGTTGGAACGTTGTTCTCACAGTCAGATATTTCAATTCTCTCACTAACTTCTGAATCTTCTTGTTTGTGTGTTTTTTTCCTTTTGCCTCCCTTTGTTTCTTGTTTGATTTTCTTTAATTTTACAACTTTCCTGTTGGATCAATTCCCTTCATATTTTTCTTTCAAAAGATCTGTTTGTGATTGGGTCACAACGTTGGACAATTCTTGTCTGGCTACATCTTCGTTCTTACTGCCCCAAACCATAGCATCACAGTCAAAAGACGTGTTGTATATCATCTGCTTTATGTGGCTGTGGCCTTATCGTAGACTTGAAGCCGGTCGATGGTGTCCATTTACATACTCGTCCGAAATTTGACGCAGTTAGTAAATTTCCTTGTATTTCCAGCTATTCACCACAGTAGCTCTAGTAGATCGTATTCCTTTTTATCAAACTTCTCTACTCGCGTTTTCTTTAAAGTGTGTAAAAACTCGAACATTTCATTCTTCATCTCTTCTTCTAAATCTATCTGGTCGTTGTGCAGCAGGTCCTTGGTCTTAGTTTTTTGTAGACGTTTGATATAACGAGTTTTACATTTCTTCTTTACACGCAGAAGAACCTTTCGTTTTCTTTACGGCCAGTAGTTAGTGAAATAGCCGGAACTACTTGCATACAAATTCTTGTGAAGGTGGTAGTGCACATTCCCAGTGTTATGTTGTACCACTGCTGCCGAGCACCGCCCTTCATACGAACCTTGGAGAGCCAAATTGATTCGCTTCCCGCCGACATATTTTGCAACAAGCGAGTTATAATGCTCAAGTGTGTTGCTAGTGACGTCCGTAATCAGACGACGGCTGTGGTGGCTAATATCCCTCACATCTGTTACCTGCTGGTACAGCCCCGTTGACACTAGTTCTGGCACAATGTTGCCTTGAGATGGCTCAGTCACTGGAATCTCTTGTCAAAATATCCTTTTTCCAAACACATGACTAGGAATGTTCAAAATGTCTTGTCTGTAGTTTCACGTTGTCGGGATTTGAAGTTTTTCGGGTTTTCTTACCTTTACTGCTTTTGTGACAGCAGTCCGGCACCTTAAAATGTTATCACAAATTTTCTTCCTCCAATATATTGTATTTTTGGGACAATTACTCGTTGTCGCTAATACTTTCCTTTTAGTGGAAAAGTTATGGAGCAAGTGAATTTTGCACGATATTTTTTTAGTGGTTTTGTAGGGTCTGATCATCCTTAGGGCCTCTTCACACTGGGCCACCATGGTGGTCGGTCAAAATGTGCGAACCACCAGCTCAGCCACCAGCTCAGCCACCAATGCAGCTGCAGCCTACAAAGCTCACAGTCAGTCACAGTTTAATCATGGACGTCGAAGAAGCAGGTGCTTTAGCATATCTTTTTTTGAAATTGCGAAAGCGTAAGAAAAAACGTAGTTTTTGGGTTCATCCGTTTTTAAGAGATAGAAGTACCAGGGGGACTTTCTTTACTCAATATCAGGACCTTAGGAATAACCCTGACAAGTTTTACACATATTCAAGAATGAGTGTTTCAAGTTTTGACGAACTCCTGGGACGTGTGGAAGAGAAAATATCAGGACAATCAACGAGACTGCGGGACAGCATACCTCCAGAGGAGAAACTATTGCTAACTTTGAGGTAAATGAAATAAAACTTAGTTAATATACCATTTTATTAATAACACTGTAAAACATTGACACAATTGTATAAAGTAGAATGACGAAAATATGCTAATGAAATAGAGTATACATTTTGTCATATTAGAAAAAACGTTATCTTATTATAATTGTTAACTTAACAACTTAGAAAGATTAGTAAAGTCCACCCACACGTTCAGAATGTGTACATTTGAAAGGGTTGTTAAATATATAATAAACGAATGAAAATTACACAATATAAGTGAAATTAAGTGAGAGAACATATATTATTATATATGATAAATTATGTTTACCCATCAACTTGTACTATGTGCTACATAACTTAATAAAGGGGTGTGTAAAGGGGAGTCATGTTCAGAGTCGAGGGATAAATCAGTGGAATTTGATAGTGGAGAGGTCACATCGTTGCGATAATCACGTGTTGAACCAAGTTGATTGTTTGGTTGATTGTTTGGTTGATTGAGAGGTGGCAGATTTGTAAACGACATTCTTTGTTGATGCGGTTGGTATGGTGGTTGAACGTAAGATGGCATTACTTGGTGTTGTGTGGTAAAACCAGATGGACCTGGCTGTGAAGAATTCAATGACATTGCGCGAGCACGCTCAACTGCTTGCATCATTTCCATTTTTACTGAAAAACGCAAATGTTCAGGTACTGCTTTCAGAGGAGCTAATAGGGACAACAAAAAAAGACGATCACTGTCATTTTCAACAGCAGCTTCCCTCTCCTGTCTGTAATTTATTCCTGTTTGCAAAACATTGACAATCTCTTGGACATCTCTACACACAGGAGGGTCAGTTTTCTTTCTCTTGCCGATCAAGGGTATTGATGAGTCGGACGTACCTGGTCTTTCTTTTGTTGGGGTGTCTGGATCCTCATCCAGCGAAACATCGGTCATACTGTTAGTGGTTTTCTTGCCCCTTGTAACTGGGCCCAAAAATGTTAGCTGTTGGTAGAACACGTATGGATTTTTTCTGGATGCAGCAGACCCACTTTTCAGATTTGATAGGCGCAGGCACTCCCTGGAGTAGCAATCACGCAGGCTCTTCCATTTTCTCTGGAGCAATCGACCTGAAATAAACATAAATATGTATTAGCTAATGAATAATGTATATTTTGTTTTTAAGCTAACCCCCACTAATCCCAGTGACATCAATACTAATTGCATGTTGTTTTGTTTTCAGTTATTTGGGAAGCGGTGTTACAATGACTCAACTTCACATTTACTATCGTCTAGGGTTATCCACAATATCGTGTATCATAAGAGAAGTAACAAAGGAAATATGGATATCATTGAAAAATGAATGTATTCCTGTGATCACTGCAGAACAGTGGAAGTGCATTTCGAACGACTTTGAATCTGTAACCAACTATCCAAACTGTGTAGGGGCCCTGGACGGTAAACATGTTCGGTTGACCAAACCGTGGAACAGTGGGTCAATGTATTACAATTACAAAAACTATTTCTCAGTTGTTTTGCTAGCTATGTGTGATGCTAACTATCAGTTTACTTTTATTGATGCCGGGGCTTACGGGAAGGAGAGTGATTCCAGCGTTTTCAAGAAAAGTGCTCTTCACGCTGCATTAAAGAACAAAACATTCCAGTTACCAGAAGCCCAACCAATAAGTGAGTCATCATCTGCCTTGCCATACGTGATAGTTGCAGATGAAGCGTTTGCATTATCAAATCACATCATGCGACCTTTTCCAAGAAAGTCATTAACAAGAAGAAAAAAGGTGTACAACTATCGTCACTCAAGGGCACGTAGAATGATAGAGTGCTCTTTTGGTTTACTAAGTAATAAATGGCAGATCTTTCATCGTGCCATGAACGTGGATGTATCACTAGCTGAAGATATAATCAAAGCTTGTTGCATTCTCCATAATTTTGTAAGAAAAAGAGAAGGCTATAATTTTGAAGAAACATTAAATGTGACCGGCTTTCATGAACTTGAGGTAGACGTTGAAAGTAGGGGAACTAAAGAAGCTTTGACAGTGAGGGACAAATTTGCTGAGTATTTTGACAGCCCTGAAGGTGCTTTGGAATGGCAGTACCGTGTTATTTGAGACATACATGGGTGTACAGAAAAAAAACAATCTTTAAGTTTGTGTAAAATGTAATTGTTTGTCTTTTGGGACTTCATATTGCTTTTAGGATTTTATCACGTTTCATTTGTAAATTATGTTTTGAGATCTCAAGTCAATAAACATTATAAGAAATATTTATATGGTTTATTATTGTTTTAATTTATGATCAACCTATAATAACATATAGTCAGCATACAACTGTACCAAGGCCACACTAAATAAACAACTTTTTTATTTAGTGTGACCTTGGTACAGATGTATGCTGACCATTCAAAATATCTTTATTCATTAATTACATTATTAATATATACATGATAAGTGTCAGATTTCTTATAAGTTATAATAAAATATACATGCTTATAGTAAACAAGGAAAATTATAAAAGAACAAAAACTAATAGTTAAAAAACATACTTTGATTATTAGGTTAAGAGAAGTCATTTACAGTCAAAAATAAAGTCAAAATATAATATAATAACAATAATAAATAATAAAAAATAAAAATATCATGTCTCAGGAGCAATATGGTCTGTTAATTTAGTGTGGCCTTGACTTTACTCCACTAAGGATTTGTGACGTCAGTAAAATGGACGTACTTGATTACTCAATTCTTGATACATAGCCTATCACATCATCACAAATAAAAAAGTAAAACAGGGTTAATTTTACTTACCATATTCATTTTTTTCATTTTCATTAGCATCTTCTTTTCCGATGAAGATATTATCTACCATTTCTATCCACGCCTTCTTCTTTGCATCCCTGTCCGAGTACACGTTGGATGTCATGTCCCATATTGCAGGCCTATTTTGTATTTCCAATATGAAACGCTCTGTATCGACTTTATCCGTACCGTTACTCATGATCTACACGTTTAGCACTCCACTAGTAGACTGAGTAATGCCCGAGGGTAGTGACTGGTGGCGCGGCCAGTCGCTCCAATGTGAATAGTCCGATAAGAAACCATGGTACGACGTGGTGGCGCCACCAGACTGGTGTCTCTGAAAATCGCAACCCCGAGCCACCGCATTTCTGGTCGCGCGGCCAGTCGCGCCACCAAAGCTCAGTGTGAAGATGTCCCATTTAAATCAATGCTAATGTAACGTAGCCACCATGGTGTCGCCACTGGTGTCACCACCATGGTGGCCCAGTGTGAAGGGGGCCTTATTCGATTATATACACTGCTGTCTCCGCCAGCTATCAGACTAGCGAACTTCAATCCGTTCATTTCTTCAGAGCTCACAAAGCCATCGGCGATGATTGCAGGTTCCAAACTCCCCCAATTTCTGTAACAACTGTGAGACTTCGGTTGAATGCCTTGGGTTTCTGCTAGTCAAGTAACCAACGATCGCTGTCTGAAACCAACGCAACAATTCAAAATATAAATAGGAGCCCATTTAACACTTTGAAGTTATAACTTTGAGTTATAAAATCAAACTCCGTAATAGTTTTAGTGAATTGATCGGGGCTGTATTGGTAATACTTAATAATACTGATCCGGTTTTCAGAAATCGGGCTGTAGGAATGGAACTTTTGGGTTCCAACAATAGCCACTGAATCACCAAAGCGTGAAGCAAGTTTCTTTTATATGTATTCATAGTCTTGTTGTGAGGAGTATTCAAAATCTTCCAACTTTTAGGAAGTAATGTTAAAATTTTCATTTGTTCACTTCGCTTTGTCATTTGTGAAAACTTTTACTTCATCTGAGCTAACATTTCAGACTCAGGAGCAACTACATCATCTATTTCTACATTCTGAATCATGATTATTTTGTCACTAAATGTTTTTCTAGGCTAGTTTTAATTTTTTTAATCTTCGTTTTGGTGTAGCTCTCAACCTGGACTTTTTTCTTCTTGATGGGTGATTAACCGATTAGTTCTAAAGAATTATTTAAGTAGTCAATTGATGTGTTTGGGTAAACTAATGTGTCTTCTGTTGTACTAGGGCCAGGTAAAATATCATTGTGTTTCATTGGATAAATTATTTTTTACTAAGATAATTGTTTCCTACACATATCAAAAATGTTGCAATTGTACATAACCCAATAAATAAATAAAAATTCTTACAAAATAAAACAAACAACAAACATAAATTCAGCTAATTAAATTTTAAATTTGGTCTGTCAACCATTATCTTTTATTAGCAATTCATTTAACTGTAGTTTTGCAAGAAAGATTATACAATCTTTCTTATATCTATAAAATTGTACAGCTTTATGCAACAAAAACTTATAATAATAAAAAAAGACAAATACAAAATATGCAAATAAATATTTACAAAACTATTTACACAATAGCAATTGTACATCAAGCAAAAAAATATCTTACATAATAAAAAATATTTACAAAGATAAATTCACAAAAAGTATAACCCTGCGTTAGACAGGTCAAGTCGTCATGCCTGCAAATCCATGTTTTCATATCCACCATTTTCTTCATCTTCTTCGTCGTCGTCGTCTTCTTCGTCGATAGGTATGATAAAGGGTTCGATGGAAGGAGTCATTACCGCACTTCCCTCTTCATTCTGCACGTGCTGGCAACATTTTCTCCACAGTTCCTCTCCAATTTTTTCAACTTCTTCTCTTACTGTTTTGATGACGCCATCACTCATAGAAAGGGTTTTATTTTCCTTCCGGACATTTCTCTTCAAGGGGGTCAAAACAAGTTTCGATAGGGTTAAAAAAGAAATACCGTAGTCGAACGTCTTGGTGTCCATGCTGCTGTGCCGGGTCATCCACACATTATTTCTTCAAGATTAATTTTACAATAATTATCAGTTTGTGCATGGAACCTAGTAATATTATATTTTAATAAAATAGTTTCATGAGAAGTATAAATTTGCGGTGTTTGTAAGTGATTTATATTTAAAAATAAGTATTTTTACCTTAAACAACTGCAACAAATCGTCTTTGATTGGCTTTCGTGGCTTTCGGCCTGGTACAATTTCATCTGGTATTTGAATTCCATTTCTATGTAGAGCCTTGATAATATCATCCTTCTTCATCCTTTTGGAAGGCGTTGGATGGAGAAAAGTATGCTGTGAAATGGAGCGTTGACCATAATAATCACGCACGATTTCCAAGGAAATTTGGCCTTCAATGAAGGAAGAAGCTGGTTTTCAAAGAGATCAGCATTTATCCCCTGGTGGTAATCGGTGGACGCCGGTCCATCTTGACAACCGTTTAGGATGATAATCTTTTTTTCTGAAGACGGAGGTGTGTTCAGTGAACAAAATACAAAATTTTCCGTCCATCCACGCCGTACAACATCATGGTTGTCATACCTATAAATGAAAAGAAGAACAATTATTGTGACTGCACGGACTTATAAGGTTGACGAAGGGTTAGTAACAGCCGCAGTGATTTAAAGTAGGCTACATGTTTAAAATAATATTTTTAATATAATCTTATATATTTTTGTGTAGGACTATCCTACCTGTCAGAACTGCTGTAGCGTGTGGAAGTCTTGCATGCATGGGTGTTACTGTGCATGGGGATGCACAGAAGGGTGTTACAAGGAACACACATGTAGTAAGTGCCCTGTCGTTTTTGGGGCCTCCTATTGGTATGCATACATACGTGGAAGAGGAATTTCTCGAAAGAGCTTTGTTTTAAATGTGGGCATTTTTGTTATAGCAACATCTAGAAGGTGAAAAAATAGTTTTTTATACCATTTTATGGTTAAAGATATGCTGTTTTACAAAAATGGCCTTTAGGATTATTAGCCTACATATGCTAGTCATTTGGATCATTGCGGACAATCTTTAAAGATCTAAAGGGTACTCAAGGTATACAGTCAGTTAGTATTTGATATCCTGACTCTATTGAAGGACGATTTAAGGGCTCACACTAGAAAAGATGAGGTGCACCAGTACTATACCAGAAGATCCCAAAATATCGAACTACCCCGCTGCTGTCTCAGGCGTACCTTGAGTAGTTATCCTCGTTCTGCTTTCAAAATTTATAACTCTGCCTACTCGTTTGCAGGGGATGGATGCACCCTCCTTCAAGAAGGCACTGGATGGAATACTCTTAAATAGGCCGTTGTACTCCTTAAAAGAACTTAAGGAAGAGCCCCTAGTGAGATAAGTGTATGTCCGCCATATCATCCGTTAAACGGCCAAGTTTTTGAAGGTATAGTTTATTGTAAATATTGTATATAGTGTAATTTTTTAACTCATTTTATAAACTACTAGCTGCTGTACCCGTGCTTCACAATGGGAAGATGTACTATACCGCCTAATCCAAACACTTGTGAAGTAGTTCGAATTTATAAACAAAAAACCACCAAATGTATACCAAAAAGTATTACCTTCATTGTAATTTCCTTACTGTTTACAATAAAATATGTCAATAACATAATTTTCATTTTCACATTTCAGTTGATTTGTCTGTGTATCACTGAACAAACCACAAAAGGTATAAAATTACCTGAGTACTGTCAGAGGGATCTTCCGCATCGCAGCCATGACCTTAACCTGCAATTGTGCGCACGCGGTTGGATATTGTAAGTTTTTGTCGGTAAGCCTACTTGTTTTTGTTCGCAAAACGTCTACGTCTGTTAATAGTATGTGTCCGTGTTTCGTATTTAAACTTTTGACGACCTTTTTGAAGTGACACTGTTAAATGTTCTTGTAAGAGATCTGATCACGAAACGCGTAATCCATAAGGACTATACAGGATCACTCTGGCAGTCTCAGGTAATTTTATACCTTTTGTGGTTTGTTCAGTGATACAGAGACAAATCAACTGAAATTTGTAAATGAAAATTATGTTATTGACATATTTTAATGTAAACAGTAAGGAAATTACAATGAAGTTCATACTTTTTGGTATACGACGAGGTGTTTAAAAATTCATCGTATCCGAGATCTTCTGCAGAACCATGGGTTTGCAAGAGTACACAGTCAATTTTGATAATCCAGGTAGATATTGTCAAAAAGAGAACCGCTGATATTGATATGAAGATAGGTCACCTAAAA